TTAGATACATAAAAAGAAATTTTTAAAAAAGGAAGTACCATTGCATGCATTTCTCACTGCCTCTCCTGGAACCTCTGGATACATTTGTCAGTACTTAGGAGAAGCAAAGCCAAACCATCCTTATCACAAATCTCACACCACAAAGGTAGAAGAAAACACTTCCTTTATCTCTTCACTGAGCTCTGTTGTCTGGGCACCTAAAAGCAATTAGAAAAAGAGGGCTGCCACTCTCCACTTGTTTGGCAGCGCATCAAAATCCAAAAGCAGTAGCACTGCTTATTCCTACAGACATGGAAGGAAAAATACAGGAGATCTGAATGGCTTAAACCATGACACTTTCCTGCAGTGGAAGTCAAGATACCACTTTCAGAGAATTCATTTTACAACAGAAAGTTCCTGCTGGAGTATTTTGGTGAGATTCAGAAAAGCGAAGTCACCTTCAGCTTCAGAAATTCTTTACAAAGAGCTTATACCGTTCTAAACCCAAGTTCTGGAAATTCATATTTTAGTCCTGTTGCTTTATAATGAGAGAATACTTGTTAGAACGATCTTTTATTAGGCAGGACTCTATCATGAGTATCATGGAATTCAATGTAAACCACAGGGATGGATTTATCCTCCCCTAATCCCTTGTAATCTTTAAAAATAAAAATCCATTAAGTAGAGCAGAATTTGTAACAGGTATTGCTCTTTGAACATGATTTTGCAGAAGGAAATTATTACGTTGGACAGGATTGGATTTAATTTAGATTTCTCCTAGACTAATGAAGTAATTTTGGGTTAAGCTTGGGTTAGAGAAAAGACCAAAACCAAAATCTAGCCATTGACTCAACTCTAATTAATATACATTTCACCCAAGCAGGAATAAACCAATTTGACTTAGTTGGAAAATATTATGGCCATTCCTTTGATCCCATGGCATTTTCCCATCAATTACCCGGTTTTCTGACTCCCTCTACTGCAAGGGTAACACCACAACTTCATCTTCAGCCAAACAACTGCCATCAGCAGGATTTCCATGAAAGTATTCTGACTGATAACAGACAGGACCACTTCTCTCTGAAATGCAAGTTTAATGCTGGCATTTGAAGTCACTGCAACAACTTCATAACTTCAGGAAAAACTTGTACTCTAAAACCAAATCCATGTCAGTGTTGCATGGGCTTTAGACAGTACCAGAACAGTCTAAGCACTTTTCTGAAGTATTTTTCTGGGTACAAACAACAGACCTGCGGTAAAGGGAGAGTGAAAACAAAGTGACTCTGTTATCTAACCTTCTACATGCATTGACAAAAATGCTTTCATTCCTTCTGCATCACAGTTATAGCTTTGGTAACCTGATGAGGAAAACTATCTATGGAATAACTCGGTTCTGAGGAATCATTATTGCCCAAATGTTGTTTTCGGAAGTATTTAAACACAATTTAAAGTGGATTTATGGCAGTTTGGTTTAAACAGTATGCAGAGTGGTTGGAAGACTGGCTAATAAATGAAGTAAAATTAAGTTACAGAACAAAACATAAAATAATATTCATCTTACCAAATTAATATTTAAATATGTTCAAAGGACACAGTAATCTCCCTTTACATTTTCTTGATCACACCAATAAGCAAGAAGGGCACTTCTTAATGGTGTAAGTTCTGTGACAGAATTTTAACCTTTTTTTTTTATAAATTAGGAAGAAAACCAAAGTGCTACAGAATGGAAGACCCCAAAATATCCATAAAGGAGAATGTTTTGGAACAAAGCTAGTCTTTCTTTCCTCTTCATACTTGTACTAATTCCTTTATTTTGCATTCTAAGACAATGCTTTCTAGAGTTCTTTCAATGTTGTGACAAGTTTTTTTTCTTAAATATTTAAAAGACTTTCTTAACTATTTTAAATTACTTATTTTGGTATTTCACTTTCTCCCTCTGACTTTCTTTTTCATTAAGTATCCTGGACTATATTCTCCTTATCAGACTGGTTACATCTGTTTAACCACAACATAGATGTTCATCCATTTCTACCTGGCACAGAACCAGTTTTGAAGAGGACGTTTACAGGCTGCTTGGTTAGCAGAAGGAATGCAGTAGTGTCGCTGTTCAAACACAGGCATGCTGCAAAGTCTGAAACATTATTTACTGTCAGAATGTAGTAATGAAATAATTGTAATAATGAAATTATCAACTGCTTTACTGATATGAAAAAAAAAACCCTATCTGAGAATCATATCATTAAACAAGTAACAAAAGCTAAAACCTGCAGGTTTTTTGGATGCCTCCCTCTTCAGGCTTTTTAAAATACTCCCTAATAGCCACTTTAATATGGGCCAGAAGAATATCTGAGCAACAAAGGTCTTCAAACCTTCAAGAAACAGAAATCACAGAAACACACCTTCAAATCCAGCTCATTATCAAATCTGACAGTGTTACATTCATCAGCTTAAACAAAACTTGGAAGAAGCCCCGTTTCTGAGCTATGGGTCATATGCACATTTAAGAATAGCCCAGCTGGCAGTGAAGTTTTGAAATTTTTACATTTTTGTAGGAGTTGATTTAAAACTTTGAATTTTAAATAAAAAAGCCATGACAAAGACACTCCAATTGACTTTTATATTATAAAGCTGGGGTGTTGTTTTTTTTTTTCCTTTGGTTTGTGTGTTTGTTTTTATTTTAAATTTATTTTTTATTTTGGCAGTGCCAGTACAATTTGAGACATCAGCATATAATCATTTGTCCTGGGTTCAGCTGTAGCAGCCATTTTTCTCAGTCTTAGTAGCTGGTGCAGTGCTGTGGTTTTGACTTTCAGCCTGGGAACAACGCTGATAACACTGATGTTTTTAGTTGCTGCTCAGTAATGTTTACTCTGACCAAGGACTTTCTGAGTCTCATGCTCTGCCAAGAAGGAGGGGAAGCCAGGAGGAAGAAGAGACAGGACACTGGGAGCAGGGGGAGGAAGGGGGGGAGTAAGCGAGCGGCTGCATGGCTCTGGGTTGCCGGCTGGGCTTAAACCACAACATTATTATTCAAATACAGAAAAAAGTATTAAAAATATTAAATGAAAATCTTGCCAGTCCCACATCCCCACTCCCCTTTGCAAAAGTTAATGCAAAATAATGTTTTTATTAAATATATTTGAATATTTCATGTGAAAGTCTTTAAACTAGTTGAAAAAATAGCTTTAGAACACTAATTACTAAAACCAGAGACATGCTTATATTTCTTATGGTTTCAAACAGGTAGAATGAATTTCAACTTCAGAGAGAGGCATGGTGCTAGCAAATTATACACTTTTATTAGAAGGGTGGGAAAAAGGTAGGGCTACTATATAAAACAATGGGGTGCAGCACTCACACAGAAAACCTTGTATTCATTCTGCATTTACTCAAACATGTTATCATACCCAGGAAAACTGCTACTTTAAAATAACCCCTGTTTGATCTAAGCATTTTTAATTAGGTTACCACCAAAATATTTTCTACCTCTTCACTAATACCACTATTACCATTACTCAGAATACACTTCATACGCTTTCTTTCATTCACGTCAGCACACCGTCACTCCCTCTAGTGTGCAAGAAACATAGCTCATATGGACAATCTGAATTTTCATACAAGGGAGAAGCACTCCTGCAGCTACACCAAAATCAACTACACTGGCTGGAGTGACAGACTTCCATCACAGCTACAAAGAGAACTACTCTGACTAGAAAATGTGGGTTTAGTAGCCCTATTGTTTAATTTGATTTCCTCAAGTTTCCAATGGCTGAAAAGGAACTACCATAAATGCAAATATTGTGGCAGCAAGAAATGCATTAATTTTTACCTTGCTTTCACTTCCAAGCAGCGTGGTAGCTTTAGTTCTCAACTCAACAGCAAGTTTTGCCTGCCAACAATTATTTTCACAAATCTGATTCTTCCTTTGCATACAGTGGCTACATGCTAAACTCAAGTAGTATTAAAAACACTTTGTCTTTTCCTGCCAAAGAATTTATTTCATTTGAATACTTGCTTGACAAACCCAACTCTGTAAACACTAAGGTATGGTCTAATTTTACAAGAACTCATTTCAGCAAATCTTACTAAATAATTGCATAATGAAAAAAAAAAAGGCAAATCTCACCATGTACTTCGAATTTTTTTTGACTGATATAGATATAAGATCTGTATAGCTAACGGAACTGTAGAATACTGCCAACAGGGAAACAAGACAAGAAGAACAGGTGAATACAAAAGAACTCGTTATATGCATTTTTCTGTATATATTACCTTCTAATGTATGATTATTACGTCCTAGTGCATATATCTAAAGAAGTTGGCTAAAAATAAATCATTAGTTTGCTTCAAATGATGCTGCAATTTCTTTTTAAAATAGGAATGGCTTTCAACTGATAGATATTTTACTCTAATTGATTTAAGTTACAACCCAATCCTAAAACATGAGATGCCATAAGCAAAGGACAATCACTCTCATCTACAGCAAATTAAGGTACTCAGTAGTTCACAAACTGTTATTCTTAAAATAACATATTGAAACTACATCTGAAATTATTTGATAATTTTTAGATTATTGTAATTTAGACCGATGAGTAAATAGTCCAGTGAATCACACTGTAGAGAAAATATCTGGTGATTATATTACTTGAAAGACTATTAACAGAACAAAATTGTTAAGTAGCACATTTCTAAGAAAGTGACATTTTACAAAAAGACAAAGACATATATTTTTCCACCAAAACCTAGTGTTGCTGTCATCAACAACCCAACAAAAGCTACATCTACCTAAAATGGAAATGTAAATATAATGTATGGAAATATTCTCTTAAAAAAATCTCCTTAGGCTTCACATGTATTAATGTATTAGTTTGCAAACATGAAGATCAAAGTCAAAGGAATAAATACATCCTAAAAAGTTTTTTAGTCAGACTTTTATTAGCAATATACAAGTAGCAAGGAATAAAAAATTAATATGTTTAAGCCTTGAAATATCAAGTGTAATGATCTCTAGCTCTGCTTACCTCCTTTGCTTTCTGTTTCAGTCTGGCTTGCTCTGGGTCTTCTTGCCTTGAGCGACTCTACATGTTTTAAAAAATGGGGAAAAAACATTAAGAGATAGTTTAAGAACCCTTCCTCTGTTGCAGTAAGTTAAAACATAGCAAAGAAAGGGGTACAGGATACAAGGTATCAAAGATGGGATGCTTAAACTCATAGAAGTGCAATTTCAAACCTGTAGGAATTAACCTAAAGACTGTTAAATATTCAGTTGCAAATAAGATCAACCTGTCCTGGGTTCAGCAGTAGCAGTCATGTTTTTTCCTTTGTGGTAGCTGGTGCAGTGCTGTGTTTTGACTTCCAGCCTGAGAACAGTGTTGGTGAAGCCGATGTTTTCAGTTGTTGCTAAGTGATGTTTACCCTGACCAAGGACTTTGTGAGGCTCATGCTCTGCCAGGGAGGAGGGGAAGCTGTGAGGAAGCAGGGACAGGGCGCCTGACCCGGGCTAGCCAAGGAGGTATTCCATACCACAGCACGTCATGCCCGGGGTGAGGGGTAACTGGGAGTTACCCGGAAGGACACAGGCTTCCGGGTGGAACTCGTTTTCTTGGCCGGTGGTATCGTATTCTCTTCCCTTGTTATTTTCCCTTATCATTGTTGTAGTTGATAGTAGCGGTGGTGATTTGTGTTGTACATTGGTTGCTGGACTGTTCTTGTCTCAACCCGTAGGAGTTGCACTCTCTCGATCCTCCTCCCTGTTCCTCCGGGAGCAGGGAAGGGGAGAGACCCCGTGGGGGATGGACACGGACCTCGACTGTTGTCAGCTCGGCACCACTCACTGGGAGTGAGTGAACAAGTTACCTGACTGGGTTTAAACCACGACAGTTCTTTTTGGCGCCCAACGTGGGGCACGAGGGGTTGAGATAAGAACAGATCTGACTGGATTGATAGTCACTCGTCACAATGCTGATTTATTGGCTCTCAAGGTTGTTCCTCTTGATCTCACAGTTTCAGTATATCGTATCTTACGTCCATCCGGTATTTGCTGTATTAGTGGTTCTCAAGTGTGAGGCTTGGGCTAAGGTTTTTGTCCCATTGTACTTTATGGTAATGACTTGTAATACAATAGAATCATTGATCATGAAACTGATCTGGCTTATGTTCCCAGTGTGGTCACCACCTTTATACTTTGGGAGGTATATGATGGAGGTGCTTAGCAATTACACATCTTTTTTCTCCTTCTCAGGTGCTCAACCTGTGAAGGAGACATCCTTTTACCCTCCTAGTCGTCCCCCCAGACCATTTACATTTGAGAGTTTTGAATTTTTTGAATGGCCTTTTAATGCTGTTGAGACTTGTTTGCTGATGGCGATGGGAATCACCACGCTAACAAGCATACAGAGTGTGTTTTGCCCACTACTGATTTCAAGAGTTAAGCAGAGTCAGGTTTGGGTCTTGTCTGGGGTCAAACGACGATGTAGGAGGACCAAGAGATTTTCCCTGAGGCTGGACAGCCATGAGTGGCAGGGTGTGTGGGATAGTATGGGCAAGTATCTAGGTCAGTGGGCCCCTCCAGTACTTTGGAATTTCACTACCGAACAACTGCAAAATCCAGAAGAATTAGTAAAACACTTAAATGAGGTGTGTGGTCATTCTGGCCATACCAGAGATGGACAAATCATGGCAACGTGCTGGGGCTTGGCCTATGCTTACAGGGCCTTGTTCAACACTATCCAGCACCTTCAAAAGGAAAAGAATGTCGGCGGATCTGAGGGCAAAGCAACAGTCGCTACTCAAACTTTGGCTGCAATGAACAGCACAGCTACCCCAGCGGCAAGTACAGCAGCTGCTCAAAATTCAACTGCAACAGACAGCGCAGTTACCCCAGCTCCAAGCACAGCAGCTGCACCAACCCCAGCGACAAGTACAGTCGCTACCCAAACTTTGGCCTCAATGAACAGAGCAGCTACCCCAGTGGCAAGTACAGCAGCTGCTCAAACTTCAACTGCAACAGACAGCGTGGTTACCCCAGCTCCAAGCACAGCAGCTACACCACCCCCAGCAACAAGTACAGTTGCTACTCAAACCACAGTGATAATCACTGCAGCCACACCAGAGGACCAATTCGTACCAATATCGGTTGCCCCTGTACGCAAGAGAACAAGCAAAAAGGAGGCAAAAAGGGTGAAGTGAGATGAAGAACCAATGAATTCACCACCCGGTCCAGAATCTGATCAGGAGTCATCATCACATGACGAAGAAGAAGAAGAAGAGGTGACTTCTCGACCTCGGACCTCAACCGAGCTGCAGAATATGCGAAAAGATTTTACCCGTCAACCAGGGGAGCACATCATCACCTGGTTACTCTGATGCTGGGACAATGGGGCCGATGGTCACGAGCTAGAAGGTACAGAAGCTAAGCAGCTGGGATCACTTCCTAGAGAAGGGGGAATTGACAAAGCAATTGCAAGAGAGAAAAAGTCCCTCAGCCTTTGGAGGCGGCTCTTGGCAGCTGTGAAAGAAAGGGTTCCGTACAAGGACGATGTTACAAGTCATTCGGCCAAGTGGACTACTATAGACAAAGGCATCCAGTCTCTGAGGGAATCGGCCATCGTAGAGATGATCTATCACATCAAGCCGAATAACGGGGATACACCTATAGATCCAGATGAAGTTGAATGTACACGACCCATGTGGCGAAAACTTACACGGAATGCACCGTCATCATATGCCCATTCATTGGCAACAGTAACCTGGAATGACATAGTACCACTAACAGTGGATGAAATGGTTCATAAACTCCGAGAGTTCGAAGACAATCTCACCCCTTCCATCATCTCAGCTGTGAAAAAACTGTCCCAGGACCTCGACAAATTGAGGGACGATCTATCTGATTTATCCAGCTCCTCACGTGTACCAACACACGTCTCAGCTATTAACAAAAGGCGTCCTATTGTTCAAGAGAGGAGATACAGGAGGTATACGCCACGGGGTACCCTATGGTTTTACCTGCTGGATCATGGAGAAGACATGACAAAGTGGGATGGAAAATCTACTTCAGCTTTGGAGGAAAAGGTGAGTGAACTGAAGAGGGGAGCAAGGGCCAAGACTGATCGTCCCATGAGAGCTACGGCTTCATTCTCTGGTGAGCAGTTTCCCACATGGAATGGAAGAGCTGATTTCAGTCCAGCTCCTGTGATAATGAAGAATAATCCCTTTCACCACGACTTAAGTGTCCAATGCTGTGACGACCATTAGAGGGGCCCTGCCTCCAGCCAGGTGGAGGTAGGTGTCCTGGGTTCAGCAGTAGCAGTCATTTTTCCCCTTCTTGGTAGCTGGCGTAGTGCAGTGTTTTGAATTTCAGCTCGGGAACAGAGCTGGTAACAAGGATGTTTTCGTTTGGCCAAGGACTTTGTGAGCCTCATGCTCTGCCAGGGGGGAGGGGAAGCCAGGAGGAAGCAGAGACAGGACACCTGACCCAAACTGACCAAAGAGGTATTCCATACCACAGCACGTCATGCCCGGGAGGTAACTGGGAGTTAGCCGGAAGGGCTGGGAGACTGCAGGGTTGGAGGAGGTATCGGTCGGAGCTTGGTCGGGCTTGGGGGCCGAGTTATCGGTCAGCTGGTGCTGAGGTGTTGTATTCTCTTCCCTTGTTATTTCCTTTATCATTATTATCATTGGTGGTAGCAGTAGTGATTTGTGTTATACCTTAGTTACTAAACTGTTCTTATCTCAACCCGTGGGAGTTGCATTCTTTTCAATTCTCCTCTCCATCCCTCCAAGAGCAGGGGGGGGGGGAAGTGAGCGAACGAATTACCTGACTGGGTTTAAACCACAACAGTTCTTTTTGGCGCCCAACGTGGGGCACGAAGGGTTGAGATAACGACAGATCTGACCAGATTAATAGTCACTCATCACAATGACGATTTATTGGCTCTCAGAGTTGTTTCTCTTGATCTCACAGCTTCAGAATGTTGTAACTTACGTAGAGCCAGTATTTGCTGTGTTAGTGTTTATCAAGTGTGGGGCTTGGGCTAAGGTTCTTGTCTCACTGTGCTTTATGGCAATGGCTTGTAATACGGGTGGGCTCCAGCAGCAGGGTGGGACGGACGTGGCCGTGGACTTGTACCTGGCCGTCCGGCTGCTCTTCACCGGCCTGGCCTCACCCTACTCTCCATCTTCGTGAGGCTGCGGGGAGCCGAGGGGGAGCGGACCCGGGAGCCGGCGGCAGCCGAACCGGCCCGGGAGAGCGGCCCCGGGGACCGAGCGGCGGCGGGAGCGGGGCCGGAGGCCGCGAGGGGACGGCTGCCGGTGGAGGAGGTCGGGGCGGTCGAGGAGAGGAAGGAGGCGGCTGCCGAGCAGCGGGAGAAGGCGGCGGAGGAGCCGAGCCCCGCGGGGGAGCTGAGACCCGCGGCCGAGCCCAGCCCCGCGACGGCCGAGAGCATCCCCCGGAAGCCGCCTGCCGAGCCCCAGGAGGATGCAGGAGACCACGCAGCATTTCCCAGCAAGGCAGAGGAGGAAGAGCTGGACTCAGAGAAGCTGGTGGTGGGAGAGCCGGCAAGCACAGCAGCTACACCAGCCCCAGTGACAAGTACAGCAGCATCAACTGAGAGTTCTGAAGGTTTTGAATGGCCTTTGGGTATCCTTGGGACCTGCCTGCTGATTGTGATGGGGATCAGCATATTGGCACACATACAGACTGTGTTTTACCCACAACCATTTTGTCTGATCTCAAAAGTTAAGCAGAGTCAGGTTTGGGTCTTGTCTGGGGTTAGACGACAATATAGGGGGACCAAGAGGTTTTCCCCAAGGCTGGAGAGTCATGAGTGGCAGGGTGTGTGGGACAGTATGGGCAAGTATCTAGTCCACTGGGACCCTCCAGTGCTTTGGAAGCATCGGAGATGGAAGGCAGCTGTATGGAGTCCCCAGCAACAAGCTGCAGAAACTGCTTAAGGGGACAGTGAATTATTTTAAGCCTGGTGGGCCCATGGCACTTCAGGCCATCAGAGCAGAGATGCAAAAGAGATGGACTCATGATCGAGGGGTGGACTTAGCAATGGACACTATTGCCCAGGTTATT